TAAATAAAAAAGAAGTGGATTGTGTGGTTTTACCAAAAATTAACTAGCAGAAAAAAGACCATATACTGAAGGACTATATACTGGTGAAGAACTATATACTGATAAAGTAGTTAGTAATTATGATGAAGTTGGTGATTATGAAGTTGGCGACTATGATGAAGTTGACAACTATGATGAAGTTAGCAATTATAATGAAGTTGGTGATTATTTATAAGAATTAAGCTCGGAAGAAGAAGAAGTAGTGCCTATTGGCTCCAATTACTTAAAAATATCAATTAATAAAAGTAGAGGATATTTAAGCAAAAAAAAAAGAGAAAAGAAAAGGCTACAGTGATAGCCATAGTTTTATGTTCTCAATTACAAAGACAACCTCCTGATTCTTTTTGTAACTGTGAGTTAAAAGCAGCATCAGGAACAAAGAATGCATTTGATCTAATATGTTCCCAGAAACAAAAAAAAGCAAGAATTTCTGAACATGATGATGAGACCAATTTGTTTTATTTGGTTGGTCTTGATAATAAACAGATTTCACTTGAGCGTCAAAAAGCTGACACACCAGATACATCTGTTGCTCAATCACATGATGCTACTATACACGAAAAGGTAATTAAGGCTGGTGGATCCTTACTTTGTAGTCCTGCTTGGAAATGGTTTGAAGAAGTATATATTAATAATGCTCGACATGGTGTATGTAATATTGAAATAGCGAATGAAAAACCCTGTAATACAAAAATAAAGACTGGTGAGTCAACAATGGCACTATGAAGACACCTAAAGATTGTACATGGATATTCTGAAAATAAAGGGCAACAAGTAAGCTTTTTTCAGTTATTATTATTGTTACAGATTATTGTGAAATTAGATAATTGTGAAATTTGGAAGTCTCAATTTAAAACTATTAGCCCAATCAATTCATATAATTAATACTCTCATTAGAGTATAGTACTCCTCCCTTTACACAGTCCCAGAGTATTATTTAATTTAGTTTTTGAGAAAGACTAGGGTACTATTTGAAACACTAGTACCAGAGTTAAAAATTCGTTGTGTATGTATTGTTATCTGCACAAAAATTAGCAATTACTGTGCAATATGCACAGAAAATAAAATAACATTTCTATATAAAAATTTTTTTACACAATATATTTGTGCGGAATTTTTAACACAGACTAATACTGTAAAGATATTAAAAATTTACCCATAGTATTTTGTAAATAATTTAGACATTATCTTTTTAATGCGTTCAACCAAATTATTAGTTGTGGCAGAAGATTTTATTTGTTCTGATTCTTCAACTTCTGATATTTCCTCATCAAACACGTTAATATTATCCATCGTATCAAAATCTATTTCATCTATAGTATAAATACTGACATCTTCATCTAAACATTCTTTCAGTAAGGCATTACGAAGAAAAACTCATAGTTAGATAAATAATACTCATCGTTGAGTATGAATTTCCTAAGATATAATTAGTTATATCACTAAATGGTTTTAAA